AAAACATATGCCACAGAGCGGGGATTTTTTTTCCAATCCGCTGGTAGCATGAAAAGGAAATTAGATGCCAGCAGGTCTGCAAAACAGCACACACCAAAACCCGCCTTAGTGCTGCTGGCAAGGCAGGAAGTCAAGGGCTCATTTAACTTCATCCGCTCTTCTTGCTCTGTCATAGGCTTTCCTCCCACCCCAGGCCTACGCCAGGGTCAAGAGCAGTTGGGCCCCAGATCTGGTCCAGTCCAAACACCAGGGGGAGAGTCATCTCCGTCACACCAGCCTGTCTTCTGCACTGACCCCCAGCCTCGCCTCAGCTAGCATCTGGATCACACCGCGCCTCCGCTCCTTGCATTCCTGTCCTGGGCTCTACCAATCGCAAAGGAGCATCCCAGTGCATAGAGAAAATACCTGCAGCGTCCAGCTTTGAAGAGGTATGCAAATGAGAGCCAGCCCAATGGGGACCATGCCTGTGCATCTCACTCATTTCCTCTTGCACACTCCAGACTGGGGAGCAGGAGGATGGAGTAGGGGAGGGGGTTTATGTCCCAGGCATTGGATTTGCCTCTAAGGGCTGCGCCCCCAGTGCCCTCCCCGAGTTGCTCGTGGAGTAATAAGCTATGCATGTAGTGTAGAAATAAAACATGTTCTGCAGAACAAATGATGTTAATTTGCTGAGAGGCTCTGAAGCTGAGTATTAGCGAAATGCCTTGAGGGAGAGAGCAGCAGCTGTGCTGGAATTCATGGCAGCATGCCGAATGAGCACTGCCATGCATCATAGTCAGAGGGGGAAAAATACCAGCGAGAGGGGGAAACGAACCACCACTACCAACCCTGACAGTCGGGCGGGGCAGGGCCAGAGCAGGAGGAGACTGCCCTTCTGGGGCTGGATCCCGCAGGGGGCTTGTGTCCGCATGTCGTGTGTCTGTCCACAGCCCCACATGTATCCAAGTGCCTATCGGTCTGTCTGGGGGTGAGCGCTTCCCGGGAGGCTTTCCTGCTGCTCCCGCCACGTCCCAGGAGAAGTGAGCCTGCCCAGTGCTCTAATGGCACACACCTAGTCACTCTCTGATTGCCCACGGTCTGACCGAACAGCGCTCTTCCCGGGTCCATTTCTCCCTCCTCTGGGGCTCACATCCTTACCTGGTCACCTCCCTCCTCTCGCTGGCTCTCTGTATTGGGGGTCTATTCATCTGCCTGTCTATTTATTCCTCTATTTATTACTGACTCTTGAGCCACCTAAAGTCTGTAGATCCTCATTGATTACTAACAATGCAGCCGGCTTACGGATCTCCAGCCTCTTCTAGGCCATCCATCTTCCACCCTTGGCTTCCGTCTGTCTGTCTGACACCACCAGGCCCTGGGTGCTAGGAGCATGCTGCAAAGTGTACATTACATCTTAATGGACGATTCCAGTAAAAGCCTCGCGTCTGATGAATATTTAACACAGCCCATCAGTCTCTGATGGCGGATGTGTGTTTTCAGCTTGGTTTTCCCTTTCCTTCTTTCACCCTTTCTTACATCCTGCCCTGCACTGGAGCTTAGGGTAGAGCGGGGTTGTGCTCCTGTCATTTCCAAATGGCTACCGGATTCTTCTTTGCTTCCTGTCCTAGGGTGTTATGTAATATTGTCATGAGCGGTTGAACCGCTGATGTCCCACCCCAGAGGCTGCTGCATTTTGGTGGTATTGGATTATTTCTTTGTCTATAAAGTTTGTAAAGCACTCTAGGGGTGAAAATGGGAGGTAATGGGCTAAAGTCCATCAATGCCTAAGTTATTTAAGACCAAACAAGCTCACTGAGTCATCAATTATACGGCCAAGAAGGGATCATTGTGATCATCTTCTAGGCTGACTTCCCGCATAACTCAGGCCGGGGACATCTCTGAATTCCTTCCTGTTTGAATAAGAGCAGATCTTTTAGAAAAGCATCCGACCTTGCTTTAGACCTTTCCCGTGGCGGGGAACCCCCCGCAGCCCTTGGTAAGTTGCCGGATGGTTAATTACCCTCACCGGTAACAACTTGTGTCTTATGTCTCTCAGCCCCCGGCTCTCGTTACTGATTGTTCTCTATGGTTTTGGTATCCCCTGCAGATGCAGCCCGCAGCCTGGCCCCAAAGGGATCCCTGTTCATCGCTGGCTCTCACTGGGTCCATCACACTGAGGATTCCATTTCTCCCGCCGAGAGAGTACAGCGCTCTGCTTGTAGGATAGCCACGCAGCAGTCCGGTGGGAGCCTCCGCCCTCCTCCCCGTGCGCCCACTCCCACTGCGCACACTGAACTGCATCAGCATCCGCTGGCGTTGGGAGCTCGCAAACACTGCCCTGGAGAGGCCAGGCCAGGCGCCGTCCCCTCCTCGTAGGGATATTCCTGGATTTCGGCTCTCCCACTGGGAGGTGTAGGAGGAACCTCCGAGGCCCCGGCAGAGGATGTCTTACAACAGCCAGTCGGCAGTGCGCAGTGTCTCTCTCCGCACATCGCCAGCTGGGTGCAACGGTGCACACGTGGTGAGCACACGGCACCGGGCCAGGGAGTTAGCAGTGTGCTGGGAGAAGGGCGGGTTATGGCTTGCAGGGATACACCCATCGTTGCTCAGCTATTGCCCGGGACACTTCAGACAGCCTGCTGGGATGTGGGAATGAGCATGAAGGCCTCCTGGAATTTCACAAACGGCTCCTTTGGCAGCGGGTCATGGCTCAGGCCGGCACAGGCAACTGGTGAGAATAAGTCAGGGCGCATCCAGGGAAGGGGAAAGCAACGGTGATTCGTTATTTATACGGCACCATACGTATACACGGAGCTTTACAAAACCCCGACACCACAAGGGCCTGCCCGCAAGGCACTCACAGTCGGACTGACAGCACGCCGGGCGGGGATGGCCAGCCATGAGGAGAAGTGGGCTCACAGCTGGGATCTGAAAGGAGGGTCACAGAACCCGGGACGATCACCATCCTTTGTTATTTGCATCTCAGTAATGTCTGGAGACCCCAAACTGAGATTGTGGCCCCATCGTGCTAGGGGCTGCACAGCAAGTCTCAGTTCCAGTCCCGGTCTCTAAGAGCTTACATAAGACAGATAAAGGAGAGGGGACACTGAGGCACAGAGCACCCTAGGTGACACAGCAGGCCAGTGGCAGAGAACCCACATCTCCTGAGCCCCAGTCCAGAGCCCTATCCACTAGACCACGCTGCCTCCCACAGACTCAACTCCGATTCCTGAGCCATGCATACAAAGAGCTGCTCCCACCTCCACCCCATGTTGCCAGATCCAATTCCACCGTCCACAGCACTGCGGTGGCCATGCAGATACCCCTGTGCTTTCAGTTCTCAGCCCTCTGCTGCACCCCCACATCAGCCCCGGCTCTGAGACATGTCAGACAGAGCAGGGCTCCTCCAAACACAGCAGTAGCCAGGACAGACAGACCGACAGACACCCCAAATCTATGCCCAAATCAAGTGACCTCCCGGGCTTTCGTTCGCTATCGCATCCATTTCCATGGAAACGCTTTCCATGGGCTTACGGCGCCCTGCCAACCTTGGCTAATCTTCCAAAGCCCAAACACGGGGTTAGGGGCTTTTTTGAACAATGTGTTTTTATTTTTGGAGAGGAAGGTGAGAGAGAGCGAAACAGAGAGTGTGTGTTGCGGGGGGCAGGGGAGCGCGGGATTTACTTTCCTTCCCTCTAAACCCCACGGAGCAAAGGTATGTGTGCAGGAGCTGGCGGTCACTGTCGGGTTACATCTGCTGGGGCATGCAAGAGCGATTCCAGATGCACTAGAAGTGCCGTGCTCGAATTTCAATTTCATCGTCTCACAATCATTTTCAGCCTCCTCTTAGTGCCACATTAACGAAGCCTGCTCGTTTGAATGCATAATTAGTCCAAGCATTCTACCTCGCTAATTTCGAAGCAGGGGAAGAGAGAGTGGGGGGGGGGGAGAGGGTTGGAATTTGCATATTAATTTAGCAGAGGGAGAGGAAAATTGTTTACCACTTGCTTCTTGCTGTTGATCACAGCGGACTTAACTCTTTCGCAGGTGCCATCTGGAGCAGCGGGCGAGGCGCTCCGAACGGCACGAGGGACAGGATGCAAAGGTTACATGGTATCAATTAAATCTACCCTGCAGCCCAACATGGTATCTGCAATCACCCGGCACGCGGTGACTCCTTCGTTACCAAGGCCTGGCCAAGGTGGTGTCAGCTACGTGACACACTGCGAGCAAACTGGTGTGACTTGGGGAGGCACAGAGGGCAGCAGAGTCAGTCCCTACCAGGGGCTCAGGCCCAGCTGTATTTGGGGGAGGGGGGGAATAGGGTGCAGGAACCGAAGGCCTGAGCTGCCTCCTGGCCAGTCCAAACAGAGGGGCATTTGTAGGAAAGGCTGCAGCTCCAGGGGACCAGAGTCTAGCTGCACTGGAGATTCCTGGGCTGAGCACAGGGGTTCTGCTCGTTTCCTGGCACAAGGACAGATGATCAGCACGAAGGGTGGAAAGTCCAAACTGAGCAAAACAAAAGTCTTTTCGCCCCATGTTTAATTAGCTTGTGGAACTCACTGCCACTGGATGTCGGTGAAGCCAAGAACTTCACAAGTATTAGCGGGACTGGACATTTATACAGATAACAAGACTCTCCACAGGGCCGGCACTAGCAAAGGAAGCAGATGCCTGGGGCGGCCAATAGAAAGGGGCAGCACTCCGTCCGTTATTGGGGCGGCACGTCCGGGTCTTTGGCGGCAATTCGGCGGCGGGTCCCTCACTACCCTCTCTTCCTCTTCGGCGGCACTTCGGCGGCAGCTCAATCGGGTGTTGTTGTTTTTCTTCACCGCTTGGGGCAGCAAAAAAGTTGGAGCCGGCCCTGACCCTCCAGAGTTATCATCGTATGTACGTCAACCAAAAGAGGTTGGGAAGGAATAGAAAATCTCCTGCTTCAGGGCTTAAGCTAACCTCCAACTCCCAGGGATCCTGCTACCTATTGGTATCCAATACCGAGAGGAGGCCAGGAGATGAAGATGCAGATCTATCTATCTAACCATCCCTCCATTCATCCCACGTTCATCACTGTGATAAACGAGCGCCTCCCGACGGAATGACCCCAAAGTGAATGAAGTGCGGTGTGCAGCACGTGGCCTGGGACCGGAGAGCTGGGAGTTAAGGGGAGCAGCAGAGAAAACGAGTGAATTTTGGTTCTCCTGAAAGTGGGACGCTGATAGCTCTGGCTAGAGCCAGGCCAGGTGGGAGAAGTGCTGTGCAATCCTCTTCGTTCCCAGCCTGGACTGCCAAAGCCTCTCGCTAGTCCCATCACGGTGGCACAGTCAGGCCTGGAGCCGGGAGTGCCAGGCTGGGAGAGCCCTAGCTCACAAAAAGGAAGATCTCTGAAGGGTGGGGGAGGGCCCACCGCCCCCCCCCCCAGCCCCCGGGTCTCTCTGCAGCTCCTGTGCTATTCTCTTCCCAGGTTCATTAGAAGGGGCCCAGTTCCTGGCTTCCTCCAGAGAATGCCAGGGAAATATGAATGACAAAGATGCAGTAAAAAGGAGACGGTGGGTGAGAAATGGGCTCCTCCGGCAGTGCCAGCTACTGTGCAAATAGGGGGCCAGATTGTGTTGTGAAGGCCAAAAGTATAACTGGGCTCAAAAAAGAACTAGTTGAGTGCATGGAGGACAGATCCATCGATGGCTATTGGCCAAGGCGGTCAGGGACGCAACCCCATGCTCTGGGTGTCCCTAAAACGCTACCTGCCAGAAGCCGGGACTGGACGACAGAGGATGGATCACTCAATAATTGCCCTGTTCTGGTCGGTCCCTCTGAAGCGTCTGGCGCCGGCCGCTGTTGGAAGACAGGACACCGGGCTGGGTGGACCATTGCTCTGACCCACTGTGACTGTTCTGATGTTCAGATCCACCGACCCTGCTCTGGCTGCTTGGCAGGGGTCTCCTCGGGAGCTGGAGAACAGCAGTGAAGGAGAGGACGCTCCCACCCCCACCCCAGAACCACCAGCATGGACGGGGTCCAAACTGGCAGTCCAGCGAGGAAAGGCTCTGTACCCTGTGCCAAGCCCCTAGGCCCCCCTCTCTGCCCCTTCTCCTTACAGTTTCCCCTAGAGGAGTGGGGACAGACCCTGACGATGTCAGGGTGGATGTTGTTTTAACAGGTTCCAAGTGTCTCCACATTTACATTTGTTTCCATTTAGCACATTTAAAAGGCAGAAAGGCTGCTGTGAACGTAACTGAGCCGCACAAGAAGGATGGGGGAGAAATTCCCTGCCCGTACTCCCCCGGTACGAGAGGACAGGCTCTCTCCGTTCCGTGTTCAGGGCTGCTGCTCTCCCGAGCGAGTGGCAGGGAGTCCCGGGCGTGCAGGTGGAAGGGCGCTGGTGCGGGGTGAGGGGAAGCCGGGGGGGTGCGTGCCCCTGACCTGCAGGAGGCAGGGTGCATTGCCAAGTAGCTCCAGGGCTGTGCTGGCGAGGAGGCAGGCCAGAGCGCTCAGTGCTCCTGGAGGGCTAATAGGATGGGCTGGAAGGTCTGTTGAAGGAGGGGCTGCAAGATGAAGTCCTCCCAGCGGCTCTCCAGTCTCCCCTCTCGCTCAAGGCCTGATCCTGAACAGCTCCACATCTTGGTGCAGGTTGGCTCCAGACCCTGGGCTCATCCCCAGCAGATTCAGATGAGAAACCTCAGTTCTCCTTGTCACAGAGTGTGGGGGGACACAAGGCCCTGCACCCCCGGCTTCCTGCGATTCACCATGACTCTCAGCCAGCCAGTAAAGCAGAAGGTTTATTTAGACGACAGGAATACAGTCCAAGACAGGTCTTGCAGGCACAGACAACAGGACCCCCTCAGTTAGGTCCATCTTGGGGTCCCAGGGGCACCACATCCCCATTGGGAGGTCAGAGCCCCGTCTGCCTCCCAGTCAGGTCACCAGCCAGCTCTGAACTCTCTCTCTAGCTTTTGTTCAGTTTCCCGGGCCAAGGTGTCACCTGGCCTCTAACCCCTTCCTGGGTTCTCATGTTACACGCTCAGGTATTCTCCCTCGGCCAGTCTCCCATCCCCCAATGCAGACTATCCTAGCCACACTCCCCTGTCAGCACTCACAGACCGCAGTAAGAACAGTCCCAGTTTGTCACACTCCTTCTCTCCCATCCCAGGCCATTGGGGGAGGCCTCTCTGCCGGGGAGGTGCAGTCAGACGGACTGGGGGGCAGGGCACCCTGGGGCTTGGCCAGAGCCGCCTGCAGGCGGACGGGAGGTGGGTGTTTTCCTCGTAGGCAGGGGGCCAAACACCTCGGAGAGGCTCCTGCCAGCGGCGCTGGAGGCAGAACTGCCGGCGCAGCGTGTGGCTGGTTTGAGGGAGCAGCATCTCGGCAGCACTGGGGGAGGAAGCGGATCAGCTTGCTGCAAAGCCCCCCACTGGCTCCTGCTCATCGGAGTGAGCCAAGATGACTCGGTTTGTTTGGAATCTGTAGGTGTCTTGAACGGGTTGGGGGGTAATTTGTCTGTCTCCTGCAGCTGGCTGTCACTTCACATCTGTGCACCGGTTTCATTTTCACTATCATTAAAAAATCCAGGTCTGACAGGTAGTTAAAAAAAATCCCAACCGGTAACCCACAAACCACTCGTCTTGAGCAAAGCAAGCGGCTGGGAGCCTGGGAGGGCTCTCCAGTGCTGGGGGGCGAGAGGAGATGCTGTTGGGGCAACGGGGGCACAGACATCAGAATCACTGCTGGTCCCATACGACGGTATATCGCACGGTTGTGCTGGGCCTGTGAGCGGCCTGGGCTGCAGCCCGATGCTGTCTGGAGAGAGCAGAGGGGAAGCGCACAAGCTATTGTTTGGACTGCTGAGCGCTGGGCTGGGAGGAGAACTCAGCCCCAGAAGGACAGCAGGGCGAAGGACGGGGGCAAATGGTGGTGGGGAAGCTTTGGGTACAGCGGATATTGTGTCTACACAGTCACTGGTTTCCAGCTCAGTGGCACATAGAGTCACTTAGTACCAGGACTCACAAGTGTGAAAACTACTATGAGAAACGTCATTCTCCTCTGTTTTATGACATCACAGACTATGGTGGAGCTGGCCATGATGTCATGCTAGGTAACTTTGCGGACATACACTCACAGGCGTTTTCTGACAGGCTTTCATCCCCGGCACCTCTCTATGCTCCGTCTGGTCCAGCCCCCAGCACTACCAGCCCGTGAGGAGCAGCTAATTCTCCCTGAGCCGCAATAGAGGCGATCTCTCTCCTGCTGCACGCTGGGCTTGTCCTCCCATACCGAAGGGAGGCGAGAGATGGTTTGGACCAGTGGGTCTCATCCGGCGGCCCAATCAGCACACAGCTGCAACCCATGTGACATCCTCAGGGCCATACAGATAGTATATCTATTGTGCGGATGCGGCCCACATAACACACGCAGAGCTGCATATGCGGCCCACAGTGGTAAATAGGTTGAGAACCGCTGGTTTGGACATTAGCTGTACATTTGATACAATTACACAGTTAAGTGTATGTGATTTCAAAACACAGGAAGTTATTAAAAACTCACTGAAACTGCTCCACTGTCATTCCATTCAAAAGCCATTGTAACACGAGCATCCTGTTAGATTCTACGGAACTGGACATATTTCTAATATTGTAATATTATAAAACAGATGTGACCTCTTGCTCCATCGACGTGAAGTACCGGGCCCCATCCTACTCTCACTGACCCCAGCGCAGCCCCATTGCCATAGCTGTGGGGATGCCCAAGTGAGGTTTGCACGCACCCCTGCAGGAATGCATAAGAACGGCCAGACTGGGTCAGACCAA